GCAGTCAGGACCATGCAAATTCAATAATAGCGAAATGCAATTATCCTCAACCATACCATTCAGTTGAAAAGGTCGATGAAACCCAGTAGAACAGGATGTGGATAATGGGTGCTTTCACATACTCGTCATGGGCATCTGAACTTACTGATGCTGTCGCCAGAAAGCAGTAGAGAAAGGAAAGTTTATTCACTAAATGACCCTGAAAATATTGTCATGTTGGGATATAGTAAAATGTTATTCATATCAATATAAATTCCAGATGGAGCCTAATATAACATAATAACAAAATAAAATAAACAGATGTTTTTCAAATCTATGGGGGGAATACTTGCCAAATCTTAAAGAGAGACAAAACTCACTAAAAAAATTAAATCTACACATCAACTAATTAAAAATACAAAGTAAAGTCAAACAATAAACAGAAAACTCTATGTATCAAATTAAATATAAAAGTAACCAATATAATTCATAATAACATTCAGTCACCATTAGGATATGAATCAATAGAAAGGAAAAATAGCTGGTTAACAAACCAATGGGGAAAATCACATCATTACTGATCAAAAAACACAAATGAAAGTGACACTTTTATCTTTCAAAATACTTAGGATTACTGTTAGTAATAATAGTGAAAGCTGGTGACAGAACTTGGGTATTATAGTGTAAACTTTTATAGCCCTTTGGAAAAGTAATTTGATACCTTGAAATAATTTGATAGCTTAAAATGTCCATTTCTATTGGGGAATTCATGGAGCACCCAGAAAGAACCTGAATTTCAGATGGAGCAACAGAGTCAGCTGACAGCCTCTAGCTGCAGAGCCTTCATGATCAGCTGCAACTTTTGATCCAAGGCTATGCTCTTTGGCAGCTGACTGGGCCTGGTGGGGGTAGGAGGTGTGGCCATTTCTGTCCATCATAGGACACTCCTATGAACAATCACAATTCCTCTTTTGGGCTGGGTGAGACTTTCTCAGAGCTGCACCAGTCTGAAGATCTTCCCAAGTAAGTCTACGTTCCCTCTATTCACAGGTATCTGATCTATACTATGGTCTGAGTCTCTCCCTGCCTGCCCTGTACCCTGCATTGTGTATCTTTCACAGGCATGTCCCTCAATAAATCTCCTACACTTCTCACTCCCTCTTGGCATCGGTTTCCCACAAATCTAAACCAATACAACCACCATTGCCTGTACTTCAGGGAATTTATACTAAGGAAGCATTACCAAATATGGAACAAAGCTCTCTATACACATATCCTCAGCACAGCATTACAATATCTTTAAAAATGAGGAAAAAACAACACTGTCAACAACTGGAAAGTGGTTAAGGAAAAATACAGTATATTTTGTAGCTGTTCAATTTATATATATGGACTAGCTTAATAATATGGAGAATGTCTGTTATGTGAAATGGATAGGAAATAAAATTATAAAAGAGTATTACCACAATTATATAAACAACTAAACCAAGAGAGAACTAGTACAAAGTTACATTGAAAAAAGACTCAACATAAGTTACGATGGCATTCTAGTAGATCTTAATAGTTAATAATAAAAAGTTATTTTAGGTATTTATTAATAAAGTATATTTTAAATATAGTCAGAAATATTGTCTTTTTAAGAACTAACAAGTAGTGAATCCATTGCTTGACTTCAGGGGCAATTAATATGCTATTGTCTTTGTGAATAAAATATCTTATAGATGTCAAGAATTGATCCTTAAGACTAACTGATGGTCACTGAAAAGGACATAGGAAATTCTTTTGAAAATGAAAGGCAAGTTTATATCACATGGGATATGAGGCCTACACTGACCGAGAGCAGCAGGTGAACTTGACTGCAGTACTTCCAGTTGTAATACACATTTCCTGTCCTATGAGCATCCATATTGGTACAGCTTTTTGATTATGTGTATCTATTGCCTTTTGAAACATTCTACCCATCTCCTTTCCAACTGCTCTTTCTCCTCATTGTACTATGCTCATTTGTGATTCCATCTCAGAACTTTATTTTTGCCTTCTAGTATATTTGAACTCTTCTAATGTACCATCACTATTTCGTCAACCATATCTGACAGCATTCTACAAAATTAGCTATCTTGAATTTGGAATTTTATATCTTTTATTAACTAAACAAATGTGCAAAAGATTAAGTTATTTGATTAAAGGAAAAATCCCAGAATTCATGATTATTATGAAAGTATTTATGTGTCAGATTCTATTCAAATGCTTTTTAAGTTACATTTCTTAGATGTTTACAATTCACATATAATCCCTTGACTACAATTCAAGTCCCTTGAGTATAATTAAGTCCCTTGACTCCCATTTAAAACTCAGCTCTTAGAGCAAAAGTCTCACATACATAAATATACATCAGAATCAACTGGAAGACTTGTTAAAACACAGATTTCTGGGGCGCCACCTCCAAAGTTAATGATTCATAGGTCTGAGATGGGGGCTGAGAATGTGCTTTCAACAGGGTCCCAGATGTTGCTGATGTTGCTAGTCTGGGATCCACACTTGAAAACTAGTGATGCAGAATCTGTACTGTACCCGTATTACTCCACTGAAACGGCAGTTGCTAAGGTCAAGCAGGAACTCTCAAGTAGCCAATCTAATAAACACCTCCTATTAACAGCCGACTTTCTCTACTAAAATCCAACTTTCTCAGCTTGAATGTGTGACTTCTTGAAATAGTCTTCAATAGTCTTCACATACTACCCTTCTCTACTAGTTTTTCTTCTTCCCCATTGGCCATTTTTTCTCTTTCAAGGAGAAACCTCTATTTATAATGGAAATGTTTGGGGTTTCTCAAGGTTTGATTCTATGCCTTCTTTTCTTTTTTACATCCTATTCCTAGGTAGTCTCACCGATGGTTATGGTAATGATCACAAATTAGTATCTTTACCCTTTCCTCTGAGTTTAAGACTCATTTTGTTAAACTTCCTACTTATCATTTCCATTTGGAGATTTCACAAACATCACAAACTTCATTGGTCTGTTACAGAACACTTTTCTCTCCTAACTGTTTCCCAGAGTATTCCCTGTGTCAATCAATGGGATCCGAAGTGATGAAATTCTCAAGCCAGAAATTTAATCATCTTTAAGTCCTCCGTTTTCTTCTCTCCCTTTTCCACTACCTCCAATCAACAAGTACAGTTGCTTCAGTCTCCAAAATACATTTCAAATCCTCTTTCTTCTCTTCATCATCTCTGCCATGACCTTACTGCAAGCTACCAGCATCTGCTGACTTCATTACTGCAGTGATCTAACAACTGCTTATATGCCCCCTCCAGTAAATATTCTTCTCACTATAATTGGATAATGTCAGCCCCCTGCTAAAAGTTACCAATGGCTTGTAATTATAATTAGAATAAATGCCAGCTGCTTTCTATGCCCTATGAGGCCTTTGATATGCTGCCCTCAGCCTACTTCTCCAGTCTCATTTGATACAATTCTCCCTCATATTTACTCCATTCCAGCTGTGCTGATGGTCTTTCAGTTTCTGTGCAAAGCACAAGAAGCAGTTTCCCATGGTGGAGTCTTTGCAAAATTTTGTTCCTTTTGCCTGAGATGTTTTTCACCAACTTCATATGATTTTATTTCAAATATCCCCTATTCAGAGAGGCCTTTCCTGACCATTCTGCCTAAAAGAGGACTACCTCTGTTATTCTCCATATGAACCCCATTGTTACTGACATCAGAACATATTTGCACTTGTTATGTACTTCTACTTGCTTGTTTACTGTTTCTCTATTAGGATATAAATGCCATGACAGAAGAGACTTTGTGTATCTCATTTGTTACCATATCTCTAGAGTATAGTTCAGTACCTGGAAATTAATAGGTATTCAACAATTATTTTATTGATTATTAATACTTTTCAAGTAAGTATCTAAACAGTCATAAATTATTTTAGTCTATAAAATTACTACCTGGCCATCTCAATGTATCTTTATTTGTTGATTACTAGATGTGGTTTTCCCATGATCACGGGATACTTAGATGTTCACTGGTTACAGTAATGAAGAAGAATGACATTTTAGGAATACATACCTGAGGTACACACACACACACACACACAGTAATTGACCCTGACTTTGGATATTGAAAGTATGGTCATTTTTCCCATCATTTTACTTTTCTGTACATTGTGATTATTGATATACAATAATAGCCAACCTGTAAATAATTTATATGTGTCAGATACTGTGCAGAATATTTAATGTGCATTATCTTGTGTAATTGTCTCCTAAACTCATGAGGTAGGTAATATTTTTGCTATTTGATACATCAAAAAAACTGAGGCACAGAGAGGTTAATTAATATTCCAATGGTCATAACAATCATTATGTGGTAGACATGGGGCCAATCTGCCTTCAAAATTCATGCTCCCAAATTCTACGTTATTCTTCCTTTCTAAAGAGCACACATGTTTAGAAAAGCTGTAACAATGAGAACAATTAATAATCTGCTATAATGGTTACATTTTACATATTGCTGGAATCTCATTTACATTTCCAGGTATTTATCAGAGAATCTAGCCTTGATTGGAGTTTTCTAACAGAGATGAAATCTTTAATATCTTATAAACAATGCAGAAAATGGCTCTTTATTTCTGTCCAAGGACACTGTCTCTATAGCAGAGGACAGGAAACTGAAACTCTAAATGGGTCTGAGAGGAATAGTCTAAAGTAGGCCCCTTAGTACGAGGTTTCTTTTATGTGTTCCACTTTATCTTTAACATTCATGTGTAGTTTTTCATTCTACAAAAAGCTACATGTTTTGAAATGTATTTTAAATTATCTGTAAGTTGCTTTAAAGCACCTCCCCCTGAAATATTTAAATAACCACCTGATTTAAAGAAGTGAAATCAGCTGTAATCTATGGCCCTGCAGTCTATATAACGCATGGCTCAAGTCTGAAAAACAAAAACGTTTGAAAAGTTTCCTAAATATTCCATTCCTTTATGCTTCCTAAATATAATGATTATCTGCTTTCAGAATAACCTTCTCAGAAAAGGGGCTGAGGCAAGAAAAGCAAATCCTTGGGCTCGGCGCGAAGGCAGCTGCCAACAGCAACACGGGGGGACGGCCGCCTGCCCAGGCCAGGCTGAGTCTGGCATTCCTGGACTACATCCCTGGCCTGCTCCCGCAAAGAGCCACAACTCTCTTCGATGGCCTGTGCTTATATGATGGGTAAATAAAAGAAATGCCTTTTTTTTTTTTAAGAAATGGCTTTAAAATACTGCATCTGCCTATTTCAAGGTGGGACTATCCACATTCCCACAGTTTTACTTCTTTTCTATAATGACCTACCTTATTCAATTTTCATAGATTTTTTTTAAATAAGGAAAATGTTTGCTTTTAGGAGAAAAAAAAATTTTTAATCAAACAATGAGGAGTCTGTGGTATACTAAGATGGATACTTTTGCTTTGTTTTTAACTTTTTTGTTGAAGGTGTTACTTTTCCTGTTAGGAAGCAAGATTACATTTTCAACTGTGGTAATACCTCTCCAGATCATTTATCTCATTTATCCCAGAACATTATCTCTCCCCTTTTTCTCTATAATCTTGGAACTCTTATCTGATGTTTATCTTGAGTCATCTGTTCTCTATGTGTATTTTTTACATTGAATATCTCCCCTCTGATACTCGTTGGAAGTAGATAGATTAAAATACTGAGATAAAACAAACACTTTGAAGCTATTTAAAAAAGTAGAATGCATACCACATAGTTTTGTGAATCCCTGGCGAACCCTGGGACCACAGACTGATTACATTCATCTAGAGCCTGATCATTTTCTTTTGGAAATGCTCACTTCAGTTTCAAGCTAATTTTGCTCTGATACGTTTCTATGTAAATGAAAAGGAAGTGATTCTACTCCAAGTTCACTGCATTTGGAATCATATACTACCAGCCTCAGAGTTGAGACGGATTTTTATTTTGGGCATATGTATGAGTTGGCTTTATGAGTTATTCTCAAAGAGCTTACAATCTGGAAATTATTTGCCTGTATACCTCATTTTAAAGCAAATTTAATATAAAAAGACAGAAAATTTCCATTAAATTTCAAGTTATGCTGCATCAGTTTTCCAGGTTTCCTATAGCTGAAAGGGTGGCCATTTGAGTACTTAAACTGAATGAGTGTTTGGCAGTTAGTTCTATTTTTTTTCTCTCTGAGTGGTATAAGAAAGGAGAACCAAGATACTAAAACTTGACAAATTTCTTGGCACCTGACCATAAAAAACTATATCAACATGTCAATATGCAGAACAATCCTTTACAACAAAACCTTTGCACGAAGAGATTAGTTTAATTTCAACAATATAAGACATCTCTTATTTATAAAGGTTGCTTTACCATTAACAAGGCAATTCAATGGGGCCATTCTTTTATGTTGCTATTACTTTTACAGAGCTCTTCATTTTAGCAGCTTCTATTTTAGGAAGATCAATTGAATTGTATAGATATTAGTCCAATAAGACTACAAATGAATACATATGGGAACTATACTCAGTAGTCTCTCTGCTAAGTAATTTGATTTATCTAAAACTATGAAGTCATTAAAGATCTTTTTATGATAAGAATCAAAGTTTTCTGGAGGAAGATTAAAGATGGTAGCATGAGAGGTGAGACAGAAAACTCCTTCCAAAACCACATATAATATGAAAATATAGCAAAAATATAAAATCCTGAAAGAGCAACAGGAAAGAAGGCTTTGGCACACTGTCTACACATGAGGAAACCAGCAGACCTAAAGGAAAAGGGAAAAATACCAAAGCCATGATCTGGAGGGACCCAAGCCCTTCCCCCACCCCAGTTCACTGGGGGGAGGAAGAGAAACATAGTGGGGAGGGGTAGGAAGCCTAGGACTGCTGAACACCCAGCCCTGGAAATCTGCTGTGGGAGCACCAACCTACATTACATGGTGCTCCGGAGATTACTGGGGTTGGAGATTACTGTGGAATACTTGGAGAGACTAAGATTTCAGCCACTTGTGGAAAACAGGGATCCATATCCGGCCACACCTGGACAAAAGACAGGCAGGCACTCTGACAGACATCCTCACAGTAAGAGGGCTGCTAAAGGGGCAAGGATTGCACAGAGGTAGCTGCTCTGGAGAAAGGCAGGTGGACAGAATTCCTGGGTGCACTCTTCCCAGTAAATTGGGAACTTTCAGGAGCTTCATGCGCTCCATTCCGCTGGCTCGCTATGCAGCTCTGAGGCCCCCCACCATGATATGCACCCTGCTGTGCCTTCCTCCCAGCTGGCACCAGTTTGCAAACCAGGTACCCCTGCCATAGTGCCAGGCCAGCCAGAGGGCGGCCCCACCTATGGTAGCTACAAGTGCAAAGCATAGAGGCTACTCCGTGCATGTTCAGCCCACTGGCCCTGGCAGTGGAGACAGGCACAGCAGCCAGGAGGTAGGAAAGACCTCTTTCCTCCAACAGGCACCAGTGTCGCTTGCCTGCAACCCCCACCACCACTCCAGGGGCTGAGAAGCTCCAGAAAGTAGAGCTTCTGGGCACTATAGGCTGCCACATACAAATATGAAACGTGAAAGGAACCTGGTTGAAACCAAAATCCCACAAACACGAGAAAAAGGACAAAGTGAAAGTGAACTCATCAATCTCCATGAAAGACATTTCAAAATATAAATCATAAACATGTTCATGGAGCTACAGAAAAATATACAAGAACTCAGGGAGGAATTCAGGAATGAGATACAAATATTGAAGAATATGGTATCAGAAATGAAACATACAACAGAGGGATTTAAAAGGAGATTTCATATAGTAGAAATTAGAGAACAGGAATATAAAGAAGCTGAAGCACAGAGAGAAAAAAGGATTTCTAGGAATGAAAGAATAATGAGAGAACTGTGTGAATGATGCAAATGAACAATATTTGCATTATACGGGTACCAGAAGAAGAAGAAGAAGAAGAAGAGAGAAAAAGGGATAGAAAGTATCTTTGAGGAGGTAATTGCTGAAAACTTCCCCAGTCTGGGGTAGGAGATAGTCTCTCAGGCCATGGAGGTGCACAGATCTCTCAAAACAAGGGACCCAAGGAAGACAACACAAAGACATATAATAATTAAAATGGCAAAGATCAAGGATAAAGACAGACTATTAAAAGCAGCCAGAGAGAGAAAAAGCCACATACAAAGGAAAACTCATTAGGCTATCATCAGACTTCTTAACAGAAACCGTACAGGCCAGAAGGGAGTGGCATGATATATTTAATGCAATGAAGTAGAAGGGCCTCAAACCAAGACTACTCTACGTGGCAAAGTTACGATATAAATTTGAAGGAGTGATTAAACAATTTCCAGATAAGCAAAAGCTGAGAGAATTTACCTCCCACAAACCACCTCTACAGTGCATTTTGGAGGGCCTGCTATAGATGGAAGTGTTCCTAAGGCTAAATAGCTATCACAAGAGGAAATAAGACCACAGTAAAGAAAGTAGACCAATTAATTACTAAGCAGATGCAAAATAAAATCAGCCACCCCCAAGTCAGTTAAGGGATAGATGAAGAGTAAAGAATATGGTAGCTATATATAAATATTGGAGAAGGAAGAAAAAGGAAGTAAAAAAAGAACCTTTAGATTGTGTTTGAAATAGCATATTGAGTGAGTTAAATAAAACTGTTAGATAGTAAGGAAGTTACCCTTGAACCTTTGGTAAACACAAATCTAAAGCCTGCAATGGCAATAAGTACATACCTATTGATAATCACCCTAAATGTAAATGGTCTGAAGGCACCAATCAAAAGATATAGAGCCACTGAATGAATAAAAAAACAACACCCATCTATATGCTGCCTACAAGAGACTCACTTCAGACCCAAAACATACACAGAATAAAAATGAAGGGATGGAAAAGGGAGAAATAGGGAGAAAAAATCAGGAGTTGCAGTACTTGTATCAGACAAAATAGACTTCAAAACAAAGAAAGTAACAAGAGACAAAGAAGGACATGACATAATGATAAAGGGGTCATCCAGTAAGAGGATATAACCATTCTAAATATCTATACACACAACACAGGATCACCTACATATGTGAAACATATACTAACAGAATTAAAGGGGGAAATGGAATGCAATGCATCATTTTAGGAGACATCAACACACCACTCACTCCAAAGGACAGATTAACCAGACAGATAAGTAAGCAGACAGAGGCATTAAACTACATAGTAGAACAGATGGACCTAACAGACATCTACAGAGCACTCCATCCAAAAGAAACAGGATGTACATTCTTCTCAAGTGCACATGGAACATTTTCAAGAACAGATCACATATTAGGCCACAAAGAGAACCTCAGTAAATTCAAAAAGACTGAAATTGTACCAACCAGCTTCTCAGATTACAAAGATATGAAACTAGAAAGAAATTACACAAAGAAAACAAAAAATCCCACAAACACATGAAGGCTTAACAACATGCTCCTAAATAATTGGTGGATTAATGACCAAATATAAATAGAGATCAAGTGATAAATGGAGACAAATGACATCAATAACTCAACACTGTAAAATCTGTGGGATGCAGTGAAGGCTGTGCTAAGAGGGAAGTATATTGCAATGCAGGCTTACCTCAGGAAAGCAGAGCAATCCGATAGGAACAATCTAAACTCACGATTAATGAAAATAGAAAATGAAGAACAAAGGAGGCCCAAAGGCAGTAGGAGGAGGGACATAATAAAGACTAGAGCAGAAATAAATAAAATCAAGAAGAATAAAACAATAGAAAGAATCAATGAAAGCAGCAACTGTTTCTTTGAAAAATAAAAAAAATTGATAAACCCTTAACCAGACTTATCAAGGAAAAAAGAGAGTCTACACAAATAAACAGAATCAGAAATGAGAAAGGAAAAATCCCTATGGACTCAACAGAAATACAAACAATTATTAGAAAATATTATGAAAAATTATATGCTAACAAACTGGATAACCTAGAAGAAATGGGCAACTTTCTAGAAAAATACAACCTTCCAAGGCTGACCCAGGAAGAAACAGAAAATGTGAACAGACCAATTACCAGCAACGAAACTGAACTGGTAATAAAAACCTACCTAGGGAGAACATCACTGGACCAGATACCTTCACCACTGAATTTTATCAAACTTTTAGTGAAGACCTAATACCCATCCTCCTTAAAGTTTTCCAAAAAGTAGAAGAGGAGGGAATACTTC